ATTAAGAATGGAGAAGCAAAAATCCTATGTACTCAGTTCTGATATGAGGATAATTAATGACCTAGTATACGGTGGGGATAGGGGAAGGGGAGAGCAGAGAGAGAGAAGGAGGAAGGGAGTGGGGGATCATGGTGTGAGTACACGTTTTGGAGGCAGGACACAATTAAAAGAGGGTCTTTATCTAACAGATACAATCAATGTAACCTGGTTCTTTGTACCCTCAATGAATCCCAAATAATAATAATAAAAATAAAGAAACCATGAACCAAATTACATTCTGATGAAAGAGTCAGAGAAGGTATTTACCATAAATATATAGATCGAGAATATGTCTTGAATAGGTAAGGTATTCCTGAAAATCAACAAGAAAAAGGATAGGTGAACCAACAGAAAAGATATGACCCAATAATTCACTGAATCTCAAATACAAGACATGCAAGAAGATGCTCGATGTCACTTGTTATCAAAGGAATTAAAATTACCTAACAATGACATGTTAAGTCACATCTATTCAAGGCAAGAGTAACAAGGAAGATAATGCTAAGGCCCAGTTGAGGATAGGGGTGAAGGGACCTCAGGCACTGATAATGGTGTGGTCAGGGGCTGCTATTCTGAGGGGCAACTGCCAGTACATGGTCAAGGAAAGATGATGTGTGTTCTGTGATCCAGCAAGCTGGTTCCCAAGTACAGATTCCAGAAAGATTTTTAGACATGGAAATAAAAAGGCAGGTACAAAGATGTTCACTGCACTGGGAGAGATGAAAGCAGTCAAAGGATCAGGACTAAGAATGGTAGAAGAAAGAACAGAACTACATAAGAACCTCCATAGTTGACCACCTCCTTAATTTGACCTACTTTTTATAGACCAGACATGCACCACATGTACTCAATGGAAGTTCCTTAGTTGACCAACTCCATATGTTGACAGTTTATTATAGTCCCTTGGGTGGTCAACTTACAGAGGTTCTACCATATGTGATAGTTTAAAGCAATAAACTAAATGTACTAAGAACCATGAATGGCTAATACAATCATAGTGCTATACTTCTGAAAACTATAAGAATCAGCACAAGATCTGTAGTGTAGCAACATATTTGGAATTTAAAATACATCCACCCCCAACAAAAAAAATTACAAATAAAAAGATCTATCTCTCTAGAATCATATTGTTGAAGAGCTGGAATTTGAGTGTTGGGATTAAATTGGAAGAAATAAGTATTGGGGCTCAGTGCCTGTGGCTCAAGTGGCTAAGGCGCCAGCCATATACACCAAAGGTGGTGGGTTCGAATCCAGCCTGGGCCTGCCAAACAACAATGATGGCTGCAACCAAAAAATAGCCAGGCGTTGTGGC